CATACACCAAAAGAAAGTAATCTCGCCAAAAGAAAACTGACCCCTTTAAAAAAAAAAAAAAGCAAGCAATCAAAGCAAATGTAAGCCTTTAACAGGTTTATCTTTTTGTGCAGGTCACCTCTTAATGACCGATTTTTAATTCAAGTTTGCAGACTTATAAAAGGTTTTCATCTATAAACTTTAGTATGTTAGAAGGTAAAAACAACATAAAACCAATACTGTGTAGCACATATAATTGTTTTATTTTGGAAGGCTTGCAAAAATCATTCGTTTTTACGAATTTCTTAGAGCAAGTTCAAGCAATGAAAAAATTTAAAACCTACTAGAGTTGACAAAAAAGTTTCTATTCAATAACTTGTTGCTGCTTGTATACATTCTAAAACAGCAATATTATCACCCAGCTGGCTGAGTGTGCTACTAATACCATGTGCTTAATCAAATGGCAATTACTTATTGCAAGTATCAGCAAGTAACAAAGCTTTAACTGCTATGTTATTGCTATTTGGAAGAAATTGTCAAGCAGTAAAATACAACAGACTGACAACATTCAAAACACTAATTCTATTTATTTTACATGTACAGCTAATTTTTAAATAAAGATATTAATACAGACTATTTAAAATCTTACTTGGATTTTAAAGTGTGTATTTTAAAGTAATTTCTCAAAAAAAGCTTAGAAATGATAGCCATCCTTCCCCACCCCACCTCACAGATTTGAGATTTACCGATTGCTAAATAAAGTTTCCTTTTTCATATGCATTTATGTTGAGGATGTACGTATAACTACGGTAATTTAAAACAGGTGGTGCTTAATAGTTTTTAAACAAAATAAGCACCTAAATGAAAATAAACCACTGAAAGTGTCAACATAAACATTAAAGCATAGTGCCTGGCACACATTAGTGCTCAATAAGGATATATTGAATAAATAAATGAAGAATGAAGGAAAAATGGCAGCCAACATAATTTTTAAAAAGTAATATACTAATGTCCAAACTAGTAAGGCTTATTTCATATTATTTTCATTAATAAGTTGAAACAATTCTTATATTTTATAAGGGGATGTTTCTATCTTTTATCTTTAAATTTCTTTGGCAGTAGATAGTTAATATAAGGTAATAGTGACAAACAGAAATTAGTGTTTAAAAACTAGGTAATAAATATGGTTAAAAAAGCATTTTAAAAATATAGCTGTATGGGTCTCATTCATGCTCTGGTTGTTCTTTGGGGAAATATCTACTCAAAATTTTTAGAGTACTGAAAATGTAACTTCTCTATTTTGTATAGTCCAAGTGACTATAAAAAGACAAAATGTTCATTGGACTTGAGTAGTCATTAAATGTACTGAGAGGAGACTAGGGTGGGGTGGCATAAAGAGAAAAAAGGTACTCTCTTAACAAAGCACAAAGGCAAAGGCATTCTTCACCCAACTTCCACAGAACAGCAAGTCCTGCAACAAAAACCAAGGGCCAAGCAAACAATCATTTGTAAAGCTTGCCTGATTATCTGTCAGAAGTATCACATATTTGGAAATAATAATGATGTAACCCACAAAATGTTGGGCATTTTTACTAAACGCTGTGCTTCTACATAAATTGACAAGATTATTTTAAAATGCTGCCATCTATTCTTTTGATATTTAAAATTTTATTAATTCTGAGAGTAAATGAAAAGGATAGTTAGCAGTTCATACACAACAGAGAAGAAAACTGACTGATTAGAAATTTACCATGGGCTCTGCTATAAAATTCATTAACAGTAATGCAGAAAATGTTACAATTTTATTCTCTGGAGATTCGTTCTCTAGTAATGTCAATACTGTCTTTAGTTCTAAAATGAGAGAATAGAATAGATTCTTTACACTAGAAAACGCCAAGCAGACTTTTCACCTCTACATTCTATGCCAAAAAAAGATAGGATACATGTTGTCAATACACGATCAATACCCAAAATAAAACACCTTTTTCTTTGTACTTATACTGGTACTGGCATCCATGAAACACTATAAAAATTCCTTTAATTTCTTATGTTCTATATATTAAATTCTGCCTGTCACATGTAACATTAAAAAAATTATTCACTTGGTAACATGCCCTTTGAACTAATCTGAGCATAACAGTTAAAAATAATAAACAGCAGGGCCAGCCGAGTGGCGCAATGGTTAAGAACTCGCTTGGGATGCCAGAGGGCCCCGGTTCAGATCCCACATATGAGGGCCAGTGACACTGCCCTCTACAGCTAAGGCTGAACAACAGCTCAACCTGGAGCTGGGCTGCCGTGAGTCGCCGGCGACGGCGTAGGCTGCAGTCCCTGTGGCAGTGGGTTGCCATGGGCTACCGTGTGTAGCCAGCAGCCGCAGTGAGCGGCCGTCCAGAAGCCGGCGACTGATCTGCCTCGCCCGGGGAAGAGCGCAATGATGGTGCCAACTTGGGCCAGTGAAGCGACCTCCTCCACAACTAGACTGAAGAACAAAACGACAGCAACTTGTCTGTTCCCCCTCCCCCAATTCCCCAGCACTGTTCCCATCCCCCTAACTCCCCAATAAAAATCTTTAAAAAATAAAAATAATAATAATAATAATAAACAGCATATAGTTAAGATGGAAGAAATGAAACATGATTTGTACATAACATGACATAACCGTACAAATAAAAATGACTGAGGTTTTAGCTCTCTCCATGAAATCCACATAAGGAAGAAGTATGAAAACCTACACTTTAAGTTGCCTTACTAGAACTGCTGAGATTAGAAGAAATAGAGGTAATAATCCCCACCATACCCTGCACCATACATCTGGAGTATCACGAGAAATCCTGGCAACAACACTTTAAAAGGGATTCAAACTGCAGTCAAGATGATGAATTAACTAGAATTCACGTGAAATGATTCAAAGCTCTGAGGGTGTTTAACCCCAAAAAAGAGAAGGCTTAGGAGAATGATTCGCAAACATTTTGGTCTCAGGACCCCTTTTCACTCTTAAAAATTATTGGGACCCAAAAAAGGTTTTGTTTATATGAACTATGTCTATAGATATTTTCCATATAAGAAATTAAAATGGAGAAAATTTTAAACATATAGTTTAGAATAATAAGAAACCAATTATATATTAACATTATAAAAAATACTATTTTCAAAAACTAAAATTAAGTGAGAAGAGTGGCAATGATTCGCATTTTTGAAAATCTCTAATGTCTAGCTTAATAGACGACAGCTTAATCCTAACATCTGTTCTTGCATGCAAACTGTTGTGCTAAGTTGCCTTGGTTGTAATATAGGAAGAAAAGTCATCCTCACAAATATATAATTAGAAAAGGAAGCAATATTTTGATAGCTTTAATATTTTCATTCTCCCATTAAATGTATTGTTCTCTCCTGCACTTTAAATGAAAGTTTTACCCATGCATGAGTTTATAATAGCATACATTGGTCATATGAAAAATACCAGTTCACAGAGGTGTGCAGATCTTTCAAATGTTAACATAGCTCATTACCTAATATTGTAAATCACATTCATTAGTATCACCACTAGTACCACTGGAACCGTCTTTTAAGTACTGGGAAGTTGTCAAGCTCCATGAGATCAGCGGCAGAAGCAAGCACTAAAAATTATTTTTACTTGAAAGCTTGAAGTTGATCACGGGCAATACTTCCCTTGAAGTGACAAGTTTATTTTCTAGAAAATGTCTGCCATGTACTGGAAACTGAATAACCATAGTTTGTCACCTGTTATTGTTTTTTCAATTAAAAAAGTATTCCATGAAAAAAGTGGCTAGGTTCAGTGTGCAAAAGCACCTTAACAATACAAGCACTTCTTGACCCAACAGTGTGGTACGTTGGTATGCAGCACAAGTGTTTTATGCATACTTCTATTCTGCTACACAGAACACTAAAAGATGGGTATGCAGGGTGAGGTTTTTTTTTAATTAATAATTTTTGCTGCTTCATCAAGGACGGAAAGTGAAACTGGCTTTTCTTTTTTTTTTAACCTTGAATGCAAGGACGTGAAGGATACAATGACTAGGAGCAGTTTGGGCCCACTGCCTTAATTTGTGCTAAGATGCTCACAGTTTTACTGTAAGAGCTTTTTGTAACATCACTGTCAACGTCAATACAGTGGAAAGGGCAAATAAAGTCTTTCTATAATTGTGAAAATAGTTTGACTCTGTGGGCTTCCAACAAGGGTCTTGGGCTCCCGGGCCCAGGCAGCCGACTCTGTTGAGAACCACTATCTTGGGGAAGGAAGGTTTACAGGTGTTCCCTCTGCTCCAACCCTCACCCTGAAGCAATTTGGCTTTTATCTAGTTTATTACTTTTGGGATTCCCACATAAGATTTCCCTTAAATATATAAATCGCTCACATTTTTACTGGAAGTCTTAGAAATTTTACAAAAGTTGTGCTATTGTACAATATAAGCACAAATAAAAGTTGCATCTAAAGTAACACCACACATTGAAAAATTTGATGTTACAGTTACCAAAATTCTATCTGCTACTGACTAACAGAAAACTATTAAACATTTGTTGCTAGTTACAACCTCTCATGAATAGAAATGAGATGTGTACATTTGTGTGTGTATATACAACATATATTCAGTCACAAGAACAATAACTGATTCCAGAAAAACCCAATATACTTAATGTTAGAGAGTACTGGTATCTTTCAACTTAATTAAATAAGAGTTAACTGAGAAAATAAAAAGGAATACATGCATTACAAAAATAAAAATGTTCTAATTGCTACTTATAAACACCACAAAAATGGGAAATCTTTTGTAATTTTAATTTCTTAATATTTGTATAGGTTTAATATTTTATGTAATGCTTAACACAAATTACTTTTTGTAACAAACATTGCAAAAAATAAATTTCTTAAAATTTATGAACAATCTAGAAATTCAAATCACTTTCCTAGAAGAACCCAAAATACCATTCTGAAAATTTATTGTACAAAAATAATCCTGAAGGCAGAATCCTAGCAGCATATAGAAGAAAATTCTTACCAATTTTTCATCAACTGTTATGAGTTGCTTGTCTCGAGTTTGGTCCTGTGCCAACCTCCATGTGGAAGCACTCAACAACCTGCAGTGCAAAATTTTAAATTAAAAACCAATCCATGCAATGAGAAAACAGAGACAGACAATTCTTACATTGACAAGATACTTTTAACAATATCTATCTTATAAAAGAGAATAGGAAGAAAGAGGGACAAAAATCCTTTTTCTCCCCAATTAGTTCTGTCTGCTAAGTTTTTGTCATATTCTCACTTGACAGTTCACCACAGGATGCACTTTGTGTCAGTCTGTAGGCAATCTGTCACAGAAAGACAGCCAGTGACAAGTACTATACTGCTCTCTATGAGTGGACAGTGAGTGGCTAGTTTGTCACTACCAGGAAGAAAAATGCAAAGCTCTACCAACTCTTCTGGAATGCTGATTCCTAAATGAAGTTCAAATGAAAAAGAGAGATCTCAATCATATTCTTAATGGCCTAAAGTAAAAGTCATAGAACTATTTAGTGTTAATAGTTTCTTCACTCTAATTTCAAAACAAAAGTAGTTTAAATAGAAATCATTTATATGATCATTTTATTAGTCCTGTATTCCACTCACAGAATTGAAGCAAGTCTGAATAGTTAAAATGGAAATATTAAGTCAGAAATAAAAGGGGCACAGAATCTAGCTCCTTTCTATTACCATTGTTCCACACTCACCCCAAATAAATTACTTAATTCTAACAGATGTCATGGCTATCACTGATAGTGACAATTTTAGTTTTCCAAAATATTAAGCCATCCTATGTAGATTTCTCTTTTGAAAGTAAGTTAGTATATACAATTATGACTCAAATTTCCAAGCCAACTAAATATATAGTATTCAGTTTTCTTAAATTCCATATAATCACCATCATTATTTGTTTATAATAATCATCTGTTTATGGAAAATGATATAGTAGCTTCTTTTTATGATTGTAGATTAATCTAAAATTATAAAAAGTATCTTTAAAGTATATATATTTAAAAATGCTTTAATTTACTTTGTGCTATGACTAATGTACAGTAAGATTTTATTATATTGGGTTATTGGAAAAGTCATGAAGTATTTTGTCTGTGTTTTTCAAAGGTCATTTATTTATATAAAGAAAAAGGATCAGTCAGTGATATATTGCCCGTTTTGTTCGATAACCTTTTGCCATCTTTCAGTGAGCTTCATAATTCCTCATTCACAAAAGGACCTGTCTTTATTTGCAAAAAACTGAACAAGGTGCTGATTTACAGCCTCATCTGAATTGAACGTTATTCCACACAAGGAGTTTTGAAGTGAGTGAAACAAGTGGAAGTGTGACGGCGCAAGTTCAGGCGAGTATGGTGGGTGTGGTAACACATCCCATCCAAGCTCCAATAATTTTTGACGGGTGATCAAACTTGTGGGTGGTCTCGTGTTGTCCTGATGGAACACAACTCCTTTACAATTAACAAGCTCTGGACGTTTCTGATGATGGATTCGTTCAAACTGTCCGACTGCCAACAGTACACATTCCAATTGATTGTTTGGTTCCTTGGTAGGAGCTCGAAAAACATGACACCTTTAAAATCCCACCACACTGAGAGCATAACCTTCCTCTGATGAATGTCTGCTTTCGATGTCGTTTGAGGCAAATTATCACGTCGGGACCAAGACCGTTTGCGCACCACATTGTTGTAAACAATCCACTTCTCATCACCAGTTATCAGTCGTTTCAAAAAAAGGATCATTTTCCTCACGTTTAATGAGCACATTGCAGATGTCTATACACGCCGTCAAATGATCTTCTTTGAGTTCATGCAGAACCCAAATATCAAGCTTGCTTACGTATCCCAGCTTCTTCAGGTGGTTGTGAACGCTTGAATGATAGATGTTCAATGTTTCTGCAATCTCTTGTGTCATGTAACGCGGGTTTGACTTGATCAATGCCTTTATTTTGTCGTCATCAACCTCGGTGGGCCTCTCTGACTAAGGAGCGTCGTTGAGATCAAAATCCCCAGCATGGAATTTCGTGAACCATCTCTGGCACTGACGTTCTTGTAGAGCACTGTCACCGTAAACTTTATGCAACTTTTCACAAGCTTGACGCATGTTCTTCCCTTTATGAAAGTAAAACAGTAAAATATGGCAAAAAGGCACAGTTTGGTTTTCCATCTTCAACTTATAAAATCTCCAAAACTCAACCAAATTGCTCAATCTTTTTTCAGAATGAAGCTAGAACTGTCAGCTGTCAAATGACATAGCAATAACATAGATGCGAATTACTCTAGTACTTCCAAAAATGAACCAGTGCCATCTGTTGCAAGCATGAGTCATGACTCTTCCAACAACCCAATATAATTTGAGAGAAAATTGTTTAAATTAAATCTAATATGCACTGCAAAACTCAACAGTTCATGGATTATAGAGTTTTTATCTAATAATTTGCACTATTTTGATCTAACACTTCTCAATATAAAGGCATACATAGGAATTATTATTTGAAACAATATATTCATATAATTTATTTCAGAAAAAAACTGACTACATAAAAAAGCACACACAACATGTGTGTATGTATGTATTTATGTATAGATGTGTTTGTAGGTTATTTAGGTCATATGCTAAGTCACTACTCCCTAAACATGGAGATACAATTATTTTAAAAAGTCAAATCTCAAATGTAAAAAAAAAGTCCTCCAATTCTAAATAGTTATGGTAACAACAAAAATCCAGAGTTAATTATGAACATGATATTTAATTTTTTATACCTACAAAATATAAAGTAGAATTAATTTTAGATTAAATGTGAATTATATAGCAAATATATCTATTTGCTGATTAGCTTGTTAAAAAATGTCATATCAATGAAATGGTAGGAGTGAAGACAATATTTTTAATAATATTTAGAGTATAAGAACACTATTAAACAAGATACAAAACCTAGAGAGTATAAAGGCAAATTTGATAGAAGCTACTACATAAAAACTTCTAAACCAAAGATTCTGTAAATGAATAAAACAGATGACAACAAAGAGAAAATATTTACAAAATAAGACAGTAACAAATCAATATAAAAAATAGGTAAAAGAGCTCCTACATAAGTAGGGAAGGTTCTTAAGTTTCAAAAGAGGCAGTCCAACGACAATAACAACAAATCGCCCAATTAAATATGGGAATAAAAAACCCACAATGAAATACCACCTCACCCCGGTCAGAATGGCTATCATCAATAAATCAACAAACAAGTGCTGGCAAGGTTGTGGGGAAAAGGGAACCCTGGTGCACTGTTGGTGGGACTGCAGACTGGTGCAGCCATTATGGAAATCAGTATAGGGCCATCTCAATACACTGGAAATGGTGCTACCTTATGACCCAGCAATTCCACTCTTAGGTATTTATCCAGAAAAACCCAAAACCCTAATTTGAAAAAATATATGCAGCCCTATGTTTACTGCAGTGCTATTCACAATAGTCAAGATATGGAAACAACTAAAATGCCCATCGGTAGACGACTAGATTAAGAAACAGTGGTACATTTATACAATGGAGTATTACTCGGCCATAAGGAAGAATGAAATCGTACCATTTGCAACAATATCAATGGACCTGGAGAACATTATGCTAATTGAAATAAGTCAGACAGAGAAAGACAAATACCATATGATCTCACTTATATGTGGAATCTAAAGAACAGAATAAATGAACGAACTAATCAGAAACAGTGTCAGAGATATAGAGGAAAAACTGAGGGTTGCTAGTTGGGAGGGGGGATGGGGATGAGGGAGAAGGTGAGGGGATTAGACAGCATAAATTGGTAGCCACAGTATTGCCACGGGGATATGAAAGACAGTTTGGGGAATATAATCTATAATGTTGTAAAGATTTTGTAGGGTATCTGGTGGACACTGTCTTATTAGGGTGACCACTTCATAGATGGTGTAGATGCCTGACCACTGCACTGTACACCTGAAGCTGAAGCTCAATAATAATACTGAATGTCAGCTATAATTTAATATATATTATTAAATATATATTTATTTAATATTTAATTGAAAAAACAATAACAGATGACAAACTATGGTTATTCAGTTTTCAGTACATGGCAGACATTTTCTAGAAAATAAACTTGTCACTTCAAGGGAAGTATTGCCTGTGAGTAACTTCAAGCTTTCAAGTAAAAATAATTTTTAGTGCTTGCTTCTGCCGCTGATCTCATGGAGCTTGACAACTTCCCAGTACTTAAAAGACTGTTCCAGTGGTACTGGTGGTGATACTAATGAATGTGATTTACAATATTAGGTGAGCTATGTTAACATTTGAAAGATCTGCACACCTCTGTGAACTGTTATTTTTCATATGACCAATGTATGCTATTATAAACTCATGCATGGGTAAAACTTTCATTTAAAGTGCAAGAGAGAACAATGTATTTAATGGGAGAATGAAAATATTAAAGCTATCAAAATATTGCTCCCTATGAACACAATTGCTGGGTTGTATGTTAACTTTGTTTAACTTTGTAAGAAACTGTCAAACTGTTTTCCAAAGTAGTTATACCATTTTGCATTCCCACCAGCATAAGACTTACTGTTCTCATTCTTGCCAGTTTGGTGGTGTCACTATTTGGGATTACTTATTTTAAAAGGTGTGTAGTGGCATTTCGTTGTTTTAATTTTCAATTATTTGATGATAGATGATGTTGAGGCACCTTTTCATATGCTTACTTTTCATCTACATATCTTCTTTGGTGGGGTGTCTGTTCAGATCTTTTGCCTATTTGTTTTCTTATTGTTGAAGTTGAAGTGTTCTTTGTATTTTGCAGATTGATGTTCTTTATTGGGTATGTGTTTTGCAAAAATACTCTCTTTCAGTCTGTGTATGTTTTTTCATTCTCTTAAAGTGTCTTTCACTGAGAAGCTTTTAATTTTAATCAAGCCTAACTCATTTTTTTTCTTTCATGGACAGTGTTTTTGATGTATGTAAAAATTCAGCACCAAACCAGTCACCTATATTTTCTCTTATTTTCTAGAAGTTTGATAGTTTTGCTTCTTACATTTCGGTCTATGATCCATTTTGA